CGGCCTCTCTCGAGGCCAATAGAATACGGCACTTAGATGCCGCGCTTGGACGACCCGCTGACGGGCACCGAGCACGAATTGGAGCGCCTCAGAGCCGTTGAAATGCTGGATGGTGGTTTGTTTACTTTTCGGGATGGGAAGATGAGGGGAGGGGACACCTGGAGGTAATCTCTGAGACCCACCAGAACCTGTATCGATAACGTAGGATGGACCCACTAGCCCAGCACGTCCTGTGCCCCAAAGGGACCTGAGCGGCCTCACGGCCGCTGGACGAAAAATACACACACACACACACACACACTTGACAACTGAGCAGATTCAATGCCACTGGGACAACACACCGTAGTTGGATAGTGATACAGTGGCTAATCAGTATCCGAATGGCCCAGCAATCGTGATATTCCTGCTTTGTGGTGGATTGAACGACACGCCCCGAACCTGGACCGAATTGTAACCACGACCGCACATTATTAGACATGGCAGTTTATGACCAGCGCTGCATATCACGCCAAAGAAGCTTGCTCTGTAGTGATGAAATCACTCTCAAGGAACTGCGTGCGTGTTCGTTGCCGACATTGTTGTAAGCCGGCATCGTGCTTACCATGGTGCTTTGGCGTAGACGCCGACCAAGACCACCACTCGGTGCCGCCGAGTCGCCACACACGCCCAGAGTACGGAAAGCCACTACGTCGCACACCTGCGCGAGCTTTCTGGGCACTCCGAAGACAAGGCTTGCCCTTTGAGCGGGCCGGCCTTCTACTACCGGCCCACTAGCTTCGACCATCATCCTCGGGCTCGCTTGTAAGCCACGAGGACGGGCTGTGTCCCACTGTGATAATCCATAACGTAGAGTTCGCCATGGCTTTAACGCGGTGCCCCTGGCCAGCAGTTTGTCGCTGGCGCAATTAGTCGTGTAGAGTGAGGGCTACTTGTCTTTCAAACACTACACTTGTTGCCGTCGAGGGCTGCCCAGCACCACACACACAGACATTTGACCACCATTGGAAGTCATGGAACTCACCCTTGTTCCCATACAGTGGCAACTGTTGCTTCCTTTCATTACCGTATTCTCTGTCGCACTTCGATGGAAGTCTGTGCGCCATGCTGTCCAGTCTTGGTTCAACGATGCCATATCCTGGCTTCTGAACGTATGTTGCCCCAAGAATCGTTTGGCATCAGGCGCTGATTTAAGGGCAGATTGCTCTTAATGTCTGGTATCCTGTGCGTCATGCACACAACAAGTCTCCTCTCCCTACTGTCCCGTACGAATTTCCCAACGGACAAGGAGACGCTGCAAAGTTCCTTCATGGCGCCGAGAATAGCCTCATATGGCAGAGGCGGTACGGATCACTCTACCGCATTTGGTCGGGTATGACACCAGAAGTGTAAGCTACTCGTTCTTGACTGATGTACCACGGACTAACGATGCGAGTGCGCAGGGTCTTGACGAAGCCGGAACACATCCACGACGTCTTCAAAGACTCCGACAGACATCTCAAGGCCAAGAACAACAACTCGGGCTACTTCCTTGGCGAGCTTCTTGGCAAATGCGTCGGGCTGGTCAGCCAGAATGAATGGAAACAGCTGCGATCCGTTTGCGAAGTTCCTTTCGTGAGGTCAAAGTCGGCAACATACATCCAGCAGATGGAGCGACGCACCGAGCGCCACTTCCGACAACTGTGGGAAACCTCTTCCCTGTCAGAATCCGTCATTGACGCTGCAAAGGACCTGAAGATGCTCCCATTCTGGATTGTCGCTGAAATACTTTACGGTGGTTTAACCACCGACATGGAACGACAGCTCGCTGAACTGGCACCAGTTCGGGAGAGCCTTTTCCAGTACTTTCTCAAAGGCGGCGTCACCCGATATGAATGGTCCAAGCTTCTCCCAACAGCTGCAAATCGAGAACTTTCAGAGTTCAAGTCCCGCTGGGCGACGTTCAACCGGCAAGCACGCACCAGGGCCCACCCCAATACTCCGATTGCCTCCTACTACAGTGCCATTGATGAGGGTACCCTGGATGAGGAATCCATTCTTCATACATTAGACGAAGCCCTTTTTGCCAACCTTGATGTCACGCTTGGTGGCATATCGTGGAACCTGGTCTTCCTTGCAGCGTATCCCGAGGTGCAGGCTAGGCTTCGCGCCGAAATTGCTACGGAGCGCGGGAAGGCTCGCGATGGGAGTATCTTTGAGTCCTACATTCTCCGCTCAGACACATATGTCGCAGCATGCATTTCGGAATCCTCCCGTCTCCGACCATTGGCAGCCTTTTCGGTGCCACAAGCCGCACCTACGGGTAGAGTCGTTGGAGGGTACTACTTCCCCCCCGGCACAAACTTCATTATCGATTCGTACGCACTGAACCAGCGCAACGAGTACTGGGGTGCCGACGCCGAGAAGTACCGACCGGAAAGATTTCTGGAGAGAAGCGCTGTCAAAGACCGATACAACTTTTGGAGGTTTGGCTTTGGGCCGCGACAGTGCATGGGCAAGTTTGTCGCCGACATGATGATCAGGGTCTTGTTGGTCCACTTGGTCGAAAACTATGATCTCGGAATGCTTGATGTAGATAAGAAGTGGGAAAGGGATCCGGAGAACTGGATTAACCACCCGCTGATGAAGTTGAAGTGTGATCTGCGCAGAATCAAAGGGACGGGTATGTAGGAGAAACTTTCTTCGAGACACTTAGGGAACTAGCATCAAATGGGACGAGGCAGAGTTTGCGAGCGTTAAGGTTTCAAAAGAAACGACAGACTAGCTACATCATGGGGCATGTGCGTTGCGCACATGCACTACCCATTGCCGACAGATGCTTGCCCTGTGGATTGAGCACAGTTTGAGGCTCTCGTGAATACCAGGTGGCAGGCAGCCTCGGCCTGGTGTTAAGAGATGTTGAATCAACAGCTCTAGTCCATCTCCAGTAACGCCCCTCAGCCATGGCACGTATATTGAATCGGCGGTTCTGGCTGATCTCTCAAAGCCTCATTCAGCCACACTTGACCTGCTCAGCGTAAGGAAGACAGAAGTACCACCAGCGCTTGCCCACGACCTTGCCGGCAGGTGGTGTGCACTGTGATATCGTCGTCAGCGTTCTGATCCCTGTTGTCGGCAGGCTCGCACAGCTGGCTGCGGCGGTACCCTAGCAACTTCCTACTTGTCCCAGTAACTGTTCAGCAAAGGTAGCAAGATACTAGACTGGCCTTGCAAGTGGTGAAACAGTGCCATTCAGTGATAAGCTAGGTGCAATACCTCAACAGGCAGCCGCGTCTGGAACCCAGAGGAAACCCGTAGCACAGGCTGATACCGTCCTCTCCGCACGACAGAGGCAGTTGCCGCCTTTACTTACGTGAACGAACGCACAGCAGCTGAGCCTGCTCGGGCTCCTCGTAGAGTAATCCTGACAAAATGCCTTTGGTCCTTTGTCGATTGCTTGGAATCGCCGTTACGTCAAACCCGTCTTGCACACCATTAAGAAGTCTACTAGGGGCGGAAGGGAAAGCATTCATCAACTCAGTTGGTTCTACCAGTACAAGAGCACAATCAAATCCAAGCTCCCTTCAATTCGCCTTCCAAGCCGTGCCAACTACTGCCTCGCCTTAAAGAGAACCTCAGCGGTCGGATCGGGCAGAATGGCCAATCCAAAGTGCTGCTGCTTTGGCTTCGGCTCGCCTGGCTTCAGCTTCACGTCGTAGTGCCGAAGAATATATGCAAGCACCACTTTGATCTCCGCGCTGGCAAAGAAGCGACCTGGGCAGGCCCAAATCCCGTGCCCAAAATTGATATTGTCAATGCCAGTCGTTGCGTGTTGGAACTTGTGCTCGTTGCCTGGCGTTTCACGTAGCTTCGAGAAGCGGAAAGGCTGGAACTCCGCAGGATTCGGATACAGCTCCGGGTTTTGGTTGATGACATGGGCATGAATGGTCATGCGGGTCCCTTGCGGAAGTACATGTCCGGTGGAACAGTGAAGTCCGTTGGGGTTAGTGACAATTCTGGGAATGTTCACTGCTCACATGTTATTCACTGTCTTTGTGCGGCGAATTGGGGAGATTTAGTCTAGGTGCTTACCCAAAGACGGAGGCGACAACCGCTGCGACTCTTTGGCGAAGCTGTCCAATCTCTTCAACTTGGGCAGATTCATCTTGTCAATTCTGCCGTCAGCAGGTACATGCTGGAGTACCTCCTCTCGCATGAGCTCAACGTCTTCTGGATCAAGAGCCGCGAGGTCAAAGATGATGTATGACAAGGCGTTTGATAGGTTGTAGATGGACGCAAAGGTGGCGAGAAGCTGGTCTCGGCCGAGTTGCTGTGCATTGGGAGTCCGAGAATACTGGGATATGAACCACTCAAGCATGTCTCCGCCCGGGATGCCCTTGTCTTTCTTGGCTCCCGACCTCTTTTCCGCAATAACGGGAGCCAGTTTCTGTTCGTTGATAGACCTCTGCTGCTTGAGCGCCTTGACTTGCGGAAGAAACGGGGCAACGAAGAAGCGAATGGGCCAAGGGATCAGCCTGAGTATGAGCCAAGCTCGCGAAACGCCGGCAGTGTAGTCTACTGTCGCTTCAACCCACTCTTCCTGTCGGCTGAGGGGCAGCCCGACAAAGGCGCGACCGGACATAATTGAAGCAATCCTAGACATGGCGTATCTAGGCTTGATGGCGGTCCACTCCTTGCAAGGGCCGATCATTTTATTCACGGCGTACTCAACCTCGGCGGTGAAGGAGGCCAAGACTGCTGGAGTGTTCCGAGTCAGCACGTTTCGCATAGTGCTGTCAAACTCGTCGGCTTTTGTGCCCATGTAGGAGTATTCGCCGAGGAAAACATCGTAGTGGTGCTTCCTGTCCCAATGCAATCAGTATTGGACTTCAACTGGGGAATATCTGCGAAGCGTGATTGGAAAAACTCACTTGATTGACACGTCTGTTTCTGGCAGGCCTCGTATGGTCTCGATCTCAGAGTCTGGAAGGACAGCCATTTCCATGCCGGGAAGGGACAGCATGAACGGCTCGTTGGGATACTAAAGCATGCGTCTCTGAGTTAGGCCCATCTCCGGTAAGTTGAGGTACGAAATTGAGAGTGGCCCTGCCTGTTTGTTTGCCTCCTCCAATGTCTCGACGACATTATTGCCGGTGACCTTGACAACTGGGAGATTATGGGGCTTCGGCCGAGAGCTCCAGAGGTAAACCAGCCCCAGGGCGATTACAGTGGCTGCAGCGCCCAGGAATAGTGGGCTGGCCACCTGAACCTTTTCGACGTGGTGGAGGAGCTCTTGAATAGCACCCATCTTGGCTGAGTTTGATCAATCGGCCGCGAAATGCAGCTCAGTACAGGAAAAAGTATTGAAGAGCAGCGACAGGATTCTGTGACGCCCGCCAGATCACAACATGACAGCGGCGACAAATATTTTCGTGATTCACGCAGGATATACACCTACAGGCCCGCCCCTCAGGACCTGGCCGGCAATGTCAGCTTCCCGCTGTGCATGCCTGGGCCGTAAGAAACCTGACAGGCGCCCGTCATAGCGGCCGCGGGCTTTCTCGGCGGCCGTGGACGGGCCAGTGGCCGACTATCATTAAATTGGCATGCCTGGAAGCAGCCGACCGCGCCTGTCCAGACCCTCATGTCATGTACTATTCCTGGCCAGCCTACGGCAGTACATCGACAATGACGCCCTACACCTCACTCGACATGGCCGATAAAGTTTGGTATTTTGCCTACGGTTCGAATATGAAGTCCTCCGTTATGGAGCGACGGGGAATGAAGCCCCTTGCTGTCAAACAGCTTGTCATTCCCTCACACATACTCACGTTCGACATCTTCGGGGTTCCGTACACTGAGCCAGCCATGGCAAGCATTGCTGAACGCGAGACACTTACGGGACCCCAGCGAGCGGGCCGCGACAAACACCAGCAGCCTCCCCCACCCGTGCACGGCATCGGCTACCTCCTGTCAGCAGGCGACTTCAAGAATCTGGTGGTCTCCGAAGGCGCCGGCACGGCTTACACCGAAGTGGAGTTACAGGCTCAGATCCTTGGCCCCAGCGAACGCGGAGGCGACTCGCTGCCGGTCCGCACCCTTGTCGGCCGGTATCCTTTCCGGCCCAATCCGCTGCCAAGTGCACGCTACCTTGTAAGACGCCGCAGTCTGCGCGGGATACTTTGCGACCCCGGGAAATGATACTGACACCTTAGATGCGCAGGGTCTTTTGATTGACGGAGCGCAAGAGCATGACCTTCCCGCCTCATACCGATACTACCTCGCATCCCTGCCGAGCTACACAAAGTCTCTGTCTCCGGTAGAGGCCTTCGGTGCACGCCTCTTCCTTGGCTTTTGGATGCCAATCATTACTTGGACCATGAAGCGCATCAAGACTGCCGCCCGGGACACAGAATCGGGCCGATCGAACTCGCGTTCGGGCGTGTTTGTGTGGCTTCTCTTTAATGTGGTTTGGTTGCACTACGATCTTGTCCATTGTTGGGTTTGGGGACGCGGAGGCGGGAGGCGGTGATGACTGAGACAGACATTCTTTGATGCCGCCCGAGTTCAATCTTAGATATCCTGGGTAGCGCCCGAGAAATATCATCACATCTCGGACGTCTGTTGTAATTCTAGTCACCCTTGTCTGACTTGAGAGAATGGATGACCCATCGCCGCGAGCCCGTGCCTTCAAGCTTCTTGAGCAAGTTCCACTCATTGGTAAGGCCAACTTGATCCTATATCGGACACCGATGGCTTGAATCCTTCGCCCTTCTCCCACCCAGCTGTAATCTCATGGCTTATTGGCTGCGCAGATGGCCACAATGACTTTGCCTACATGGTGCGAGGATGGTACCGGAACAACCTGAGTCAACCAGACTTTGACATCCATGCCATGCCAATCGGGCAGACCGACATCAGCAGACTCCGCAAAGGCAAGCTCGGGGGCCAGTTCTGGAGCGCGTTTGTGCCATGGTACGTACATGTCCATACGAGCCTGGTGACGTTGTGCCTGATGGTCGGTCACAGCCCCAAGGACGATGAGAGCAAGGGGGCAATTCTGTTGTCAACACTTCAGCAGATTGACCTACTGCATGGAATCTTTGAGCAGTATTCTCAGATCTTCACATTCGCGACTCACTCCTCAGAGATTATCCCCGCCTTCAGAACTGGGAGGCTCGTCAGCCTGCTTGGCATCGAAGGCCTTCACCAAATTGGCGGGAGTCCCAGCGTGCTTCGGATGCTCTACCGGCTGGGGGTGAGATATGCTACCCTGTGCCACAACAAAGGAAACGAGTTCGCCGACAGTGCCGTAGGTGTAGCCCAAGGCCGCTGCCGTTCTACGATTCTAAGTTATGCGCTAAGTGTCGTCGTGAGCAGACCGCGGAGGGCGCCCATGGTGGGCTCTCAAAATTGGGGCGGAAGGTAGTACAAGAGATGAACAGAATCGGGATGTAAGTCATGAGATCTAAGATGAGTACGCGAGATATTTGACACTTACCGCAAATGTAGGATCGTGGACTTGGCGCATACTAGCCACGAGGCACAGCTCGATGCTTTGAAGTACGGCGAGGCCCCAGTCATTTTCTCGCACTCGTCATGGTGGGTGCATGTGGTCTCCCAGCGCAGGGCTCAGCGGACAACGAAATCAAGACACTGACACGAGCGTTACAGTTACGAGCTTTGCCCAAATCCTCGAAATGTTCGAAATGAAGTGCTACAGAAACTTAAAGCAAATCGCGGCCTCATCATGATCTGCTTCATTCCCTCTCTTGTCACCCCACCGGAAGCAGGACAAGCTGGCGTATCCGGAGATCGCAAATCTCCGAGCGTGGCATCCGTTGTTGATCACATCACGTATGTGGGCGACACGATTGGTTACGCTCACGTGGGCATCGGATCCGATTTTGATGGAATGCTTGAAGGGCCCCCTGATTTGGACGACACTTCTTGCTTCCCGAGCATAGTCGAGGAGCTTCTGAGACGAGGGGTCGATGAGGACGATGTGAAGCTCGTTATGGGCTTGAATGTGATCCGAGTCATGGAAGAGGTTGAGAGCGTGAGCAGGACCGCCCAAAACATCGATAACTGGGATGTACTCTGTGATGATATTGCGTCGCCTTGGACTGATGAGCAGGTGTCGTTGCTGGTGGCCAGGGGCTCACTACGGAACACGAATGGGACAAGCAGCCTTCACTGAGTGGGCAAGTTTATTGTTAGACTCAAGGGCTCCGTGCTTGTAGCTCAGTTTAAAAGCCGCCCATACGAAGTTTGCATTTTTGCTATCTGCTCAAACGCTGTATTGGCCCAGCAGTGACCAGAAGACACTACTCGTTATTTACAAATCCTGGCATTCTGTCAGCGCGAGGCTCATAAAAGGCAATCTGCAATCTGGAGACTTGCGGTGGAAAGAAATAGACGATGTTTCGATAGTGAATGTTCCGGAGCTGACAGAGTCTGATTCTTGCGTAGGCACCCTCCTCCTGTCCAGGCCACGTCCCAAATTTGGGAGCAGGCAAGCTAAGCAAAACTGGACGATTGCCAAGCCCCGTCCTCTGCGGGACTCTTGGGGGTCCTGAGATCTGTCCTCGGACAAGGCAGGTAGGAGTCGTGACGTATCGGACATTGCTAGGTCGGTAGGTCGGGCAGGATGGCGAGGCCGCGCCATGTCCAGGCCCCAACGTGCACCCCCAGCTTTTGTCCTGACGTATAGACCGCTGAAAAGCGCCGATGACCCGAGGGAGACGTCCACGAGAGACGTCAGAGGGCTTCAGCCGCAGGGGCACCTGCCTACACGGGCCGTTGGCGTGTCATGGTTGGCCGACTCCTTCGCCACCACGGGCGCGGCCGCCGACCGGTCCGCAGCCCAAACATTTACACAGGGTAAGTAGGTTCGAGTCTGTATCGTCGAGGGAAGGGAATAGTGAGCCGAAGTGCGCCACTACGGTGAAGGCGGGCCCTCGGAAACGTCCAGCTGCTCGGCGATGCCGTGTTATGTCCTCGTCAGCTTATCCTTCACGACGGCGTGGCGGTTAGTTAAAGTAGTGAATCGTCTGTGCCATAAACAGAAGCTTGACCCAAGTAAAATAAACGTCATCGATTCTTTCAATATTTTCCTAGACCATTGTTCAATAGCCTCGTAGACTAGCTCTGCACCTGCACATACTCACTCACCAGACACTGCATGTGCTCTTGGTCTGGTGTCGTTCCCACAGGCACAACGTCGACAGGACCAAGACAGTGTCTTACCAGTTCAACAACCGACCACAAACATGCTCGCAGTGTCTGAGTTCCTCGTTCTGTTCGAGCTGTGCACCGTCCTCGACAAGAGCGCACTCGACATCGACCTCGACACTGGCTTCATATCCAATGGCGGCGATTCGCTGGGGGCGGTTGCCCTTGCAGCGGCCTGCAAAGCACATGGCCTAAGTCTGCCCAGAGAGAAGATCTTGCGAAGCCAAACACTCCGTGGAGTTGTTTCCACCATCTCAAGCCTGGATGGTACGGACCCCACGCAGGTCAAGACCTACCTCTTGTCAAAACTGGCATCGGACGCCACGCCACTATCCGATGTGTCATCAGCCTCGTCAAGGAATACGACCCCATCAGTTGGTCAAGACACCGTGCCCATCATTCGTTGGCCACAGTCGGAAAACACGAGCCATGCAGGCTCTGTGGTCAAGGGCGGCTTGATCGATACGCCCGATACGACCTTGTCCGGCTTGATCGGACCTTCGTTGACCGAAATGCAACTTCACTTCATCCACGGTTCACTACGACAACCGGGAACAAATTTCATCGTCCATTCAGAGACATACGAGACAAAACACATCCCGGTGCTGAAGGCAGCATGGAGGCATGTTATCGAATCCGAGCCGATATTCAACCAAGACTTTCCAAGATACCAGGGAATTGATGCAGGTCCAACAGGGTTTAACTGGGCCGATGCGACAACGTCGGGCGATGGCGACAAGGACAGAGCCGAGACAACAATTGGGTCATTCTTCCGAGTGGCACATGTTGATGGCTCAGAAGAACTAAGCACCATTACATGGACGGTCCACCACTCAATGATAGATGGCTACTCTGCATCAATGCTGTTTGACAAGGTGCTCCGGATGGCGAATGGGGAGCATCCACTTCCTGCAGGGCCGTCATTTATACAATTCACTCGAGAGCTTGACTCGTTTCGCAAGACAAGCCGGGAGTTCGGAACAGCATACTGGGTAGGCAAGCAAGCGCAACTGAGGCAAGCCCAGCATGAACTCCTGCTCCCGACAGCTCTACCGCACGAAGGCTACACCGGAAGCCAAACCGTCACTGTGGGCATCACAGATATTGCAGACAACATTCAGTCAAAGGCGCAAAGTATTGGTGTCACACCCGCAAGTGTCTTCAACGCAGCCTGGGCCTTGACACTCGCACAGTTTGCAGATGCTGATGTCGTCTCATTCGGCGCTGTTCTATGTGGCCGAAGCCTCGTGGTTCCCGGTGCACTAGATACAATCGGCCCTCTTCTCAACACACTCCCGCTCACCCTCAATGTCGCGAGAGAGATGACGACCGAGGAGCTGCTGCGCACGGCCTTTGATGAGCTTGTCGAGCTGGAGGAGTACCAGTGGACAACATCCGACAACGGCTTCAATCGCGTCTTTGAAACAGCGCTTAGCGTCCAAGTGGACATCCCGTACGACCCCAGCTGGTGCATTCGTCCTGTGCAACGAGCGACGCGGCAAGAGCACGAAGTCCCTCTCGGAATCACGATTGACCCCCGGCGTGGAATATCCTTTGACTATCACGTCAACCGGTTTTCCGCAGACAACGTCAATCGTCTGGCCAAAACTTACCGTCGTGCACTGGAGCTGTTGCTGGCTCCTGTACGCACCATCAGCAATGCTGTCAAGGACCTACTCCCGTCTTCCAGCATCGAGATGCTTCATCACTTCGGCAACTGCGCCTCGACGACACTGACTTCGAGCATCACAGAGGATCTTGTTACACTATTTGAGCGGCACGCGCGAGAGATCCCTGACAACGTTGCAATTGAAAAAGGCTGTGATAAGATGACTTACCGAGAGATGGACACGGCGGCCTCCAAAATCGCCTCGCGGCTCTCCCTGCACATCAAGCAAGGCGAGGTAGTCTGCGTCTACTCTGATCGTTCGATGCTCTGGCTATGCGCCATGTTCGGCATCTTGAAGGCAGGCGGCGTGTACTGCTCGATGGACCCAACAGTGCCTCAAGAAGTGCGCGACCGGAACTTTGGCTTGTCGGGAGCAAAGACATTCATCACCGCCAAGCCTTGCCAACTACCTATCGTGCCGAGGGACTGTCCCATCTCCTTCACAGTTCAAAGCACACTAGATTCGCCGGAATTTGAACCCTTCGAACACCGTCGGGTTGCCAACCCCCATTCACCGGCATACGTCTGCTTCACTTCGGGATCTACCGGCACCCCCAAGGGAGTAGTTTGCGCCCACGCGGGCTTGGTCGCGTTCCAATCGTCCCTCGATGTCCGACTATTTGCTGCCCCAGGGCGAAAGGTTGCTCATATCATGTCCGTCGCGTTCGACGGCAGCATCCACGAGCTCTTCTCCGCCTTGACTCACGGCGCTACCGTCGTATTGCCATCCGGCTCGGATCCCTTTGGCCATTTGCACTCAGCCGACTCGGCTATCCTAACGCCGTCGCTTGCCAGATTGCTTGATCCCGACGAGTTTGAGCGGTTGAAATGGGTAAGCTCCAATGACTTGTTCAACCGAGACCAGCTCTGACACATTGCAGGTATACTTCGTCGGCGAACCGGTCCCGCAGGCTGTCTGCGACCGCTGGGCCTCTGTGAAGCAGCTGTACAACATGTATGGGCCAACCGAAGGCACCTGCGGAGCGACCATCAAGCGACTCCTGCCTGGACAGCCTGTGACTATCGGCGTGCCAAACCGTACTACCAGAATTTATATCCTCAATTCCGACAGGACCTTGTCGCCCCCCGGAGCTATTGGCGAGCTCTATCTCGCCGGCGTGCAAGTCGCTGGTGGCTACCTGGACCTGCCCCAGCAGACACAGGAGCGCTTCTTGCCAGACACAATCTGGCATCAAGGAGTCCGTGAAATGATGTACAAGACGGGTGACAGAGGGTACTGGACTGAAGACGGCGAGATCGCCTTGCTCGGACGACGCGACCGCGAGATCAAGCTGAGGGGTTACAGGTTGGATATGGGCGATCTGGAAATTCGGATCGCACGAGCGTATCCCTCCCTGCAAGCTGTTGCAGTCACCCACAACAAGGACCAACTTATTGCCATGGCCCAACCCCACGACGTCGACGTGGGGGCCCTCCGAGAAGAACTTCGGAAGGCCTTGCCGCAATACGCCATGCCCCATTCTATCGTTACCACGGACAAGCTTCCCGTTACTGCGGCTGGGAAGGTGGACTACAAAGCCGTCTCCGAAGCGGCGTCTCACCCACGGGAGACCCAAGCTCAAGCCGATAAACTAGCCTCCTCGGCGGAGATAGCGGTCGCACAGGCCTACAGAATGGCTCTTCAGATTTCAGATGATGTTGAAGTCACCGCATCCTCGAATTTTGTCGAGCTCGGAGGCCATTCGCTCCGCCAGCTCGAGTTGTTGCGGCACCTGTCAACAGCCTTTGATGTGCAGCTGTCCTTGAAGATGATACTCGTCTCTCCTACGGTAAGAGAACTTGCCAAGGCAATTACCGGCTGCATAAACTCGACTCCGTCGGTTGTTCTCGATCAAAAGTTTCCGGTGAGCGAGGAGCGAGCGACCCCGATTGAGGTGGAGTGGATGAGAAAATACGAAACCTCGTCCGGCTCGTCATCGTTCAATGTGTGCTTTTCGTCAATGTTCGACGGCAACGTTGCTAACAAAGAAAGGCTCATCGAGGCGTGGAACATGGTGTTGGCGAGGCACCAACTCCTGGCATGTCAATACGCCTACCGCGGAGCCGACGAGGTGATCCGCATCAACCCGGGTTATTGTCCTCGCGTCCAAACGCCATGCTCGTTCGACTTGTGGGCGGAGGCCAACCGGCCCTTTTCGTTGGAGCTCGAGCAGCCTATTCGCGTGTTCGTCACCGACGACCGGCTGACGGTTGTCTTGAGTCACATCGTCGCCGACTACACAGCGCTGGGAATATTGATGCGTGAAGCGTCCGACGCGTACAACGGCAAGCTCTTGGACGATGCCCCTCGTAGCTACTCTCTTGCAGATGTTTGGTATGGATCACCCCCGCAGGCCGTCCTGGATTTCTGGACTGGATATCTGCAGCAGTGCCCCGAAAACCCAAGTCCCTTTGGTGGCCAAGTCAATCGGTCGGATTACTCTGGAACATCTGCGCTCTCCATCATCGATACCGGCATCTTTGAACGCGCCCTGCAATTCTCCTCCGCTGCCAATGTCACGCTGCAGCAACTTGCAATCGCATGCGTTGCGTTGTGCTTGGATCAGGATCAGGCAGGAACAGACATTGTACTGGGCGTACCGCACATCAACAGGGATACTGCCGACGACTTGGACACTTTCGGACTGTTCCTCCAGCCTCTCCCGGTCCGCATCACACACGGGGCAGATTCGGTTGGCACCTTGATGGACTCCGTGAAGACAAGCTCGCAAATGGCACTTGCACATGCAATGCCGTGGCACCAGCTCTTGCGGCACCTCAATATCGCGACAAACTACCCCAATCACCCCCTCTTTGATGTCATGGTAACGATGCACGACTTCAGGCATACGAATGACTTGGACATGAAGGTTCCTGGGCTTGAGCCGTCCTTCGTCTGGTCCGAAGGCGCCAAGTTTAAACTGCTGTGCGAGTTCACGGCACTACCCAACGGGAAGCTGTTACTACGGATGGAATACGATGCCAGCGTCGTGCCTGAAGCTGAGATTGGGAGACTGCAAAAATCTATTCCGCTTGCGATGCACATGCTCTCGACTGGCAGCAAGCATGATGAGGTCAAGTTTGCAGTCAAGGGAGGCACAGAGCTACCGAGTGACCTAGCGGGCACTGTTTTGCAAGACACAAAGTGTTTCTTTGGCAAATGCCTTGGTGATATTTAGCTAGAATAGATCATGTCACATCTTCATTTGGATGACTACTAGGTATGCCTCGGCATTTGATGATGCAATGTCAGAACGAATCGCCTTCCAGGGTTTTGATCTACCTACATGCAGTATGCGGTGAACGTTCCAGCCGGGGCATGGCTAGCTGGCTTGCTGTGTAGCTACAGGCACGCAGCAGAGGGCATTGAAACGCTGCTTAGTGCTCACAATGTTGGATTTTGGCGTCGCCCCATAATACAGGTCACGACACGCGGTCCAGCGGAGGGAGAGCTGCCTATCGCCGTGAATACCTGGGGAAGGCAGCAAGTCTCTGAGTCTGGTGCAACTGCGGTACGCTCGGAACACCAAGGCCGTGGCGACTTTGCAAGCCGCCGACGACGAAGTGGTGTATTAGAGTGTTTCCGGCTTGTCAAGCTGCCGCCAGTCGGGCGCTGTCACTGCAGCGGGCCTCCTGGACCCCTGTGGCTGCTTGCCCTGTCGGCGGCCGATCGGCCTTACACCCGCTTCGTACAAGAATCCGGGCCGCAACGCAAGGAGGCCGTCACTCCATCCATCGACCAACCATCAAATCCTGTGAGGTACGATGCCGATGGGATCACTCCTGAGATAGCTCCATAAAACCTTTCCCCAGTGTAGTACCGGCAGCGCGTTGAATCATTCGTGATTAAAGACAATTCCGTGATCGTTCCTCGCCAACTGTTCAGACTCGAGAACCTCCAACACGCTTCAGCACCAGACGATTCACCACGCCAGAACCGCACAATGGCCACCCCACGCTTCAACTTCAATGTCTCTTATTCGGAGCCCGTCAATCGCCTGGGCGACGAGCCGGTACTCACCATGGATGACGTTTGGCAGGGAATCGCTCATGGTGCACGGTATCCGCAGGACATGGCCGAATATGTGGCAAACTGCGAAATCTTGTCGGGCGACAAGGTCAAGTTCCGCCGCAGGTTGACCATTGGCGGCGGCGGCGCCGTGCATACTGGCGCAGGCGAAGCCATTGACCAAGATGTGATCCTCCGCCCGATGCTGAATGTGAGTCGCGCAGGCACCCCGTCTCCGAACGCACTGACGGGCGCTAGGTTGAGGCGACGACGACCACGTCTGGCGCGACGACCATCTTTGGCATGTCGCAAGGAACCCAAGACCCTCCCAACGCCGAGCGACCCGAGATCTATTTCACCGGCGTCTACGAGCTCTGGATTGACGGCGTGGAGGACGGGAGCAAGGAGGCCGAGGAAGTTCGTGTCAAGTACGGTGCTTTGGCCAAGGGTGCGACCCAGGACGGCGTCAAGACCTTCAGGCGGTGGAAGAAGGAGGGCAAGCTTGAGCAGTGGGCCAAGCTTGAGAATGGAGCCTAGGTGTATCGCAACAGCAGCTATTGCTGCAGGTAGAGGCGCACTTTGGGCAAATCTCGCCTTAACATGAGCCAGACGGCTGTTCAGAAGACTCGATGCCTGTGGCTTCACTGAGACATGCTGCATACCACATACTGTTGTTGAGCGCCATGTTCCGAGGATCAACAGTTGTTACTTAGTTTGATGGCGCTGGCGAGAGCCCTCCAGGAGCCCTGCCATGGTCCCGACCCCAGGCCTGCATGTCCTGCTCTGTCATCATGGCATGGAGGGTTCTGCAGTTGTTGCACCATGGCAAGCACGTGGAATAGCTGAACGACAAGCCTACTTGATTATTTTGGTGAGACTGTCAGCAAATGATAAAGCTGCAATCAGGGTAAACCCTTGACATTATTTGCGGCTGAGCATGCCTGTGGGAGTAATCACGGGGTCTACAGTAGCGTCTTCATCCCGCGGTTGATCAATTGATGTCGGGCGCCAAGTGCATCGTCGTCACGTTCACTGCGGCAAGAAAGAAGCGAAAAAATCGATTCTGCTGTCGCAATTGCATGCCACTTGGATCCTGAAGGACACTTATCACTCATTCGTCCGCATCGTGGCCGTCAGGATGCAGTCCTACCCGCACAGGCATCACCAGATCGTGGGAGCAAAGGTACCTCTGTCCTCTCCCATCGACAACCAAGCCTGGGACATTGGCCGCGGCCTCGAACGGGCGGAATACATTGAGGCGTTCAACTTCTCGATGGTGGGTTACGGAGTAAGCGTCCATTTTCCTGTCCTAATTCGAGCTCGACCCAGAAAGATGACGCCCCCTCGGATGCCGAGGCTACCGCATATTCTCGCACCGGCAAACTCAAGCAAGATGACATCCTCAATTGGGTCCATCAGCGAGGCGCTTTTAAACCGCTAGAGCATGCAGATGCGAACGCGAGACTAAACGGCGGAGTTCGCCTTTTGATCTTGGAGCGCGCATACTATCAACCTCCCAGCTTCAACATCAAGAAGAGCACGTACAGAGCTGTCGCGCAACGTTTCCATCTAGATGAGCATACGCTCCTTGCCTCGTCCAGCGAAAGCGGTCTATCGTCACACAGCATCGAGCTCGACGAAAAGGGTAATCCAGAGCGATTGAACATGATCATCAAGGCCTCGCAGAAGTTTCAGGTTGGCAACTACAGCCTCTCGTTCTCTCATGATCTTGTCACGGGGTTCTCCACTGGCATCCTTCACGGCACAGGTGTGACGCAGCATGGCGGCGACTATGAGCTTTGGTTGTCACACCCGGCCGCCGAGTTGTTTGAGCTACTCAAAGCTAGTGCACGATTCTGGGCCCATCCGCTCTGTCTACCCGTGTTGGTGCTACATCATCACTTGCAGAGGACACAATACTTTTGCACAGTCATTTTGTCCAACCAGCTCACAGACGTGCAAGAGCAGCTGGGTGTCATGCGAGCAGGCCGACTACATGGCATCGAGGCACAGAGCAACCTGTCGACCTTGCCTGTCCAGCAGGCAAAGACTAGTCTAAAAGATTTAACAGCAGGAATGAGCAACCTGGCATATGAGACGATTTGGTGCTGTGGAGTATCCGACTGGCAGTGCGAAACCATGGTGTTTCTGCGCGATGTTCTGGCGGAGATCAGCGGCCTGGTCAAGGACTTGAAAGGCACACAAGCCATGAAAGCCCACATTCGGTACCTAGCTGCGACGGCCGCGAGTGTCAAGCGGCATAATGTTTCGATGAAGGAGAATACTCATGCGGATATGAGTGTCGTAAGTCCGTCCGTTTTGGGGCCACGGCCGTCGACCTGTGTGATTATACGTGTATTGACTCGTGGCGTAGCTCTATAGCATAATCTCCCAGGTCGACAACCGCCTCAACGCCAAAATGGCCGCCTCTTCAAGCCGCGACAGTGCCGCCATGAAGACCCTCGCCTTTCTGACGATACTCTTTCTGCCAGGGACGTACATCGCCGCAATCTTTAGCACTGGCATGTTCAACTGGCACATTGACTCGGGCTCACAGCAAGCTGCGGCTGAGCGTGCAAACAACGCCCGGTCCATGAGTGCAAGGGCCGACACTAATGCAACACCAACTCCAGAAAAGACGATTTCCGACCTCTTCTGGGTGTATTGGGCAGTCACGGTGCCGCTGACAATTTTGGTGGCGGCGGCGTGGCGCATATGGTGGAGTCATGAGAAGAAGCACTTTGATCAGGACATCGGCGTAGAGATTAGGGCTATGGACGACAGCAGGAGTCAACGTGCAGGGGCAGTGGATGAAGGGGAGACGGAGGATGTAATGGCAGCAAAGAAACCCCTGCCCTTGGTGATGGCGGCTTACACCTACGTGGTGAAAGGAAGAGGTCGATGACGAACACCATGGAAAATTAAGCATTGGACATGAATTTTGTTGCGGCTTGCAGCCACTCCCAGGATTGCGCCCATGTTACATCTCATATTGCCGCCTATGCAGGCCATGATCGCGGTCAAATCTAGAACTCTCACGTTGGGTCATAAACGATTGTATAACAGCCCCGGTCATGACATCAACATGCGCTTGCGATGTGCTACTTAGTTGCACACCTCGCTGGCTTCGATCTCAATGCCGGCCATTCTCCCACATACCCAAATTCGGGTCACGGCTGGATCCTCTTACGCAAGGTACCGAGGGTCCCGCGGGATGAACTTGAGAAACGGCCCATTCTTGTCCCCCGCCGCAAAGTGGTCCTTGACATGGAACTCAAGCGGCAGCTCCTCCCGGGACTCAATCTCGAACAGAAAGGCGATTCTTGCCATCGTCAGGTAGATGGTGCTCATCGCCAGATTCTTGCCGATGCAGGCTCGCGGGCCATAGCTGAACGGCAAGTGCGCAGACCTCAGCTTCTCGATCTCGTCCTTTGACTCGGTGAGCCACCGCTCCGGCTTGTAGATCTGGGGCTCAGGGAAGACGTCCTCTCTGCGGTGCATCGCCCATCCCGGCACGCCGATGTTTGCGTAAGCTGGGATGGCGTGGCCATCGATGACGCCGTCTTTGGGCGATTCGCGGACGAGGTAGCTTGGCACACCGGGGGACATTCGCAGTGCTTCCTCGACACAGGCGCGGAGATACTTGCAGCCAAGGAGCTTCGGCCCGCTCACGATCTCTTCGAGGCTCGAGAATGTGGACCGAATCTCTTCTTTGAGCTTGCTGTAGCACTCTGGGTACCGCGCGAGATAGAATGACATGCCTGTCAGTGCTGTTCCGGTTGTATCGCTAGCTGCATATGTAGATGCTGATCAGCGAACTGTTCTGTGCCTTAGTGGGGGACCTTGTACTGACCAGCGATGATAAGCACCACAGCTTCATCTGACAGTTCCTTGAACTCCATTTTCTCGCCCGTTTTCTTATCCTCGGCATTGAGCAAGAGCTTGAAAATGTCATCCGGGCCTTTGCCAGCCTTTTCTAGGTCAATGCGGTGCGTGACTTGGTTGGCGACGTAGTCTCGGAACTTTTTGACCGCAGAAGCCATGCTGATGAACATGAGCGGTCCAAGGCCGAAACGCTCCACCCAAGGCACACATCCCAGGATGATCTGAATGTGCTGAAAGGTGTCAATGAGCGGCTGGATAAAATGATCATTGTCTTTTGTGAGCATGTTGTACTCGTGACCGAATGTCAGATTGCCCATGATGTCGTAGGTGAGGTACGAGAACCACCGTGACATATTCTTGTAGTCTCCGTGAAAGGTGTTTGGGTCTGCGATTTGCTTGCAGAAGAGGCGAATCTTGTCCAGCACGGTGGCTTCGTACGATCGAATGGCCGCTTCGCTGAATGCGTGCGAGATGATTCGGCGCTTGCGAGCATGGATTTTCTTGTCGACGGCGCTGGCGAGGTTCTTTGCGTGTCAGTTGTGCCGGACAAGCGAGGAGTAGGGTAGACGTACGACTAGCACCTGCTTCTCTACAGGCCCTCGCGAGTAGTAGTAGCCCTTGCCCCATTGTGAGCCCGTCCCGTAGATTGCTACAATACCTCAAGATCAGCAAGACGCATCCGTGATGTGGGAAGCGGCAGACATACCCTGGACACTGCTCGGGCTCATGATCGACACAAAGTTTGGCTCAATTCGCACCGCATCGCCTGGAATGAATCAGCGCCTCCGGTCCACGCCGTGCCGACACTGGCCAATAATACTCACCATATTTCTTGTGCAATTCGTCGACCTTTAGATGCTTCGTTCCTTTCCAAGAATAGTACAAATTTGGCAGGATGGTCATGCGAAAGAGCAGCGGACCCGGCAGATGCGCGCAAGGGTGAAAGTAAATGTTGTACACATAGTCCCAGATTTTCTGCGTGAAGCCGTGTTAGTGCGTGGTCCTGCGATGGCGACGAAAACGCGGCTTACCCAGATGAAGAGACTCAGGAGCGCCGTCCTGATGACGACTCCACTGTCAATCTCCCCTGAAATGCCCTTTGCCAGCTCCAGCAACTGGCTGCTGAAGCCCTTGGGTGCTGTGCTGTTGTCCTGGAGCAGCCCCCCGGCGGCGCTGTCGCCGGGTAGCTTGACTTGGAGAAAGGAGCTCATGGTTGCTTGTGAAACCGTCAATTGCAACGGCCAACAGTTTGAAGCAATCGCTTTTTACAGTTCGTCGCCGCAAAGGATATCACATTGCAATAAACCTGCGAATTGTTTTCCCTTTGCCTGTCTCCAGTCCCGTAGGGGCGTTCAACGGGCCGCTTGGCCGTCAGCCGGCCGGCAATCGGCAGAGTGTGACCATGCCTGAATGGGTGCCACGACAGCGTGGCTGTACCCAGTGAGCGTCAGGGTCAAAGATCTGGGCGATTACAGTGAGTCGGACCGGTGCTGACGGTCCTGTACTCTGGCCCGTCGTGGTGGGGTTGGTGAAGCCTCGGCGCCCGACCACGGCGTCCGACTAATGCACCGGCATGACACCTGGATGCAGCTCACCTGTCCACGCTGAGGTTCGATCGCGGAGGCGAGCAACATTCGAAATGGATGGGCCGAGCACGAACTCCAGGGTCTGGGGTCCACCGTGGCGACGGCGGCGCACCATGGCACACAGAGACGCCAGGGAATGTGCTTCTCATCGCAAACAGCCATCTATTACTACAGTGAGACAATACAGTGGCATGACAAGTAATTCGCCAGCACGGACTTTCGTCCGATTCGAACACAGCCTAGGGCATCAACCGTACGTCGTCCCGTACATGGCCTGGCGCAGAGACAAGTATTCATCGTCGTCGTTGTCAAAGCAGATGAACGCGGTATTGGAAGGTGGATCGCGACCTGGCTCCGTCTCGATCTCAAATATGTCGTCCTTCTCCATGTCTTGCCTGTTAAACTCGCGCGTGTGCAGGATGGCGAAACTGTGCAGGATGGTTGGACTGTTCTTCGGAGCGCCTTTGGTAAAAGTGCACCACCCCCAGTCTATCCATTCCTGCCTGAGCAACTCGTCGGTGCCGCGCAGGTTCTCGGCATTGCGCGACCCGTAATTTGCAGTCGCCCGGCCGGAGCGGGGAACATCGCAGAGATCTGAACAGAACATCCTGGCCAGCAAGCCGCCGGGCTTCTCTCGTGCGCACTTCCGGGCAATCGTTCGGAGCACGGTCTTCCAATGTCGGTCGTAGGGGTCCTTGTTACAGAGAATAGCATGGTGCAGCTCGAGACTCTCGATCTGCCTATGACGCTCCATGAACGTGATGAGAATGCTGCCCGTGAGGCAAATGCCCCGTAGGGTCAAGCGTCGCAACTTGTTGAACTGTAACGTTTGCCGCACCATATTTCTGAAGACTCTCCCGTACATGTTCAACCTGGATAATCCGTCTATTTCCTCGTACTCGAGCGTCTGGAACATGTGTAGCTCGAGCGACCGGAGATTGGGCATGTGCTTCAGAAATCTGGCGACGCCCGAATAGTTGTCCTCGCAAATGGCCTGAGGCATTGTGTCGCCGTATCGGCCCGGAATCTCGGAGCCCTTGTTGTCTTCTATAGACTCGTCAACGTCATCGTCGGAGTCGCAGTCGCTGCCATCCACGTCAAAGCGGTTGGCGTCTCCATCGTCGTCGAATGCTACGCCTGCCATCCAGCGCCATTCCACCTCGTCGTCGATCTGAAGCCAGTGGCGACGTTGCCGTCGCCGTTCTGTTGCCGCAGCGTCTGCTCCATACACCATATTCAAACGTTCCCAGCCATGGTCAACTCGCGTAGCGAACTTCAAAGCGCAGTTCTCGACCGCGGCTCCGTATTGGGCCATATCGGCATCGATGTGGCGAGGCGGTGCGATTGTGATGTCGTATGACGGCACGCAGAAGCCAGCTGTGTTGCTGTAGATGCGCAGGTCGGGAATGGCCACGCCGCTGCGTGCCAGAGCAGTCATCGTTAGTCGGTAAAGCTGCGACGCGCGAGCCCATAGCCGCTGATGGTCTATCTGTGCACTGCGACAGGCGATCGGGCTCGAAGGAGCCTGTGAATCTTTGATGAACCTCGCATGTAGCTCCAGTGTCCTCAGACACCTCCTGCCGCCCCAGGACAGGATCGTGGAAAGTCGTTGCACAAGATTTTCCTCTCCGAGGGACACGACCGGATCGAGGGCAAACTGCGCTTCCCGGGCCTCGGACTTACCGGTCGCGGAGTTCCAAAGGCACTCATTCGTATGCTCGGCGGATTGGCCAGGAGCGGACTCGGCCACTATTCGAAGGTGTTTGACGAGACCTCCCAGGCGGTCGTGCTTAATGAGCTCCTCGGTTCGTTCCAGGGCGAAAGATGCCAGGACGGTCGTGTGACGAGCAAAGCACTGCCTGGCCACCAAAGCACTCATCTGCCGGCTCACGAGCCGAAGCCTCTTGCGGTCTGCAGCGGGCAGGAAACTGGATACCTTGACTAAGACCTCTGGAGGAACATTGCGAAAGGCGGCTTGGTGTTCTGCCATGATGCCTGGCATGTGTCGCTGCGTCCCGAACCACGAATGCTGACTAGGACGGGCGCGCAATTTTCATGGTGAAGGCCGTCTCGGCCCGGGTCAGGGGTCGGTGAGATCCTGGATTTTCGTCCAAGAGGCGGACACGGAATTTAGCCCTACTGGGCACGGCAGGAGGGCCCAATCGTGCAAATATTGAGGGCAAGGCGGCTATCGGATCCGAAAAAACACTGCATAGAACGAGCAGAATGAGCAATACCAGTATTTGTATTATGTAGTGCTGTGTAAATCGTCGGCTGGACCTGAGGGCTTGCGCGTGGCAACAAAAGTTTGTTTGGGTCTAGGGGTTGTACCTGCATTCCGAAGTCGGGAGAATCTTGCCCCGTCGACATCACAGCCCTGCCGCAGTCACGCCGGCGTTGATGCCTTACTTGAACGAGATTTTGGCGAGGGTCAGACGATGACACCGGGCGACCCTTCGAGATTGCAGGCACGTCTTTGTCAATTGCGCAAAGCTGGGGTTTCCGTGCACCGCCCTCAGCAGTTGTTGAGGCAGGAGCAGTACGTTGTACAATGCGGAGGAAGGCAAAAACCTGTGGAGTCTCCCGGTGACACTGACTCCCGCGTGTTAGACGCCATGCAAGCTGCACAACAGGCAGCTTCGGGGCGGCTCACCAATTGCCGGCATCTTCCCTGGGATTCATAATCCAACCACGGCAGAGGGCCATTGATGCAGCTCTAACGCAACACCCGCGTGGTGACATCAGTCGAATCGAAACAATTCTGAAATTAAAATGTGCAGAGCCTCTACTCCAGAGCATTCTCGTGTCGATCCCCCAGAGTTCAATCGTAGATCAGGTGAACGGCATTGGCCACATCTTTCCGCGATCGCGTCACCTCTGTGCGCGAAGCGCTCCGACCCTACAGCTTGCCATCGATCAACGACATCTCAGCGCGGCGAGTCGCTGAGGAGCGGCCATGCCACCGGTTGGATGTGGATGACTTGATCGCTGCACTCCCTCTGCTGTACGGGGCTCTGTGAGGATCAACCGAGCCCTGGGCTTCCATCGATATTCGGAACGATGATCCCGACACATGCACAATAAGGTTGGCATGTAATATGTAGGGCATGCACGATGCTGGGGAGTCTGCCACGAGGAGGTTGGGGACGTGTGACCCCTGGAGGGGGCGGTAATGACCCCTAGAGTCAGGGGTCATGACGGCATTGATTGCCCAAGTGTGCATGCAGCGTCCAGCCGAGCTGCAGCCCGTGATCTCACAACAACCTTCCACACATGCAATTATCGCCGTGGCACCGGCCGCTGGATGACTTTGCTAAGAACCGGAACATCGGCCGATCGGCCATAACAGATAGCTCTCAATAATCAGATTCCCTCGATGGCCCGACATGGATCCGAAAATTCGGTCCGAGGCCATTTACGAAGTGCTGCTTTGTAGCATCGCGTTAGGCACGGGCCCGGCGGCGGGTAGGTCCGCAGCCGCGTAAATGGGTTGAGCGGAAGCTCAGGGCATGGATCGGCGGCCAAAGTCCGCCACCAAGATCACCTCGGTGCTCATAACCACAAGGCACCAGCGCTACGGTATACAAGCTCTCGGAGATGAGCTCCAGTTGCTCAACCATAGTCACAACCCCAACTAAGCCAAAAGCTGCCTGTTAGTGTCATGTTATCTCCTGCTAGGCAATGTAACCCACGCGACAACCCCAGGTTTCGGCTATGCTGAAACGTGCCCATTCTTGATTCCCCTTACAGATAAGCGGGGTAGCCTCCTTGGCCATGTGGCCACTCGGCCTTTTAATGCGACCTTCTTCTATCATCTTAGGAGCCTTTCCACTTACTATCGCGAGCAGCGTGCTTTACGCCCCATGACACAATACTACGTTACGCGCCTACGCGGGGGGTGCGTTCTCCTGCCAAGTCGGCCAGACGCGCTCAACGCGTAGAGTGAAGCCATTTACATCCGCCGTCAGGTGGCCGAATACTACCTTGATTGTGTGAGCAAGGGACGGACGCGCGGAGAGACATGCGCATGGGGCCACGTTCATGTTGAGACAATGGAGCTCTTATCGTCAGTCATTTAGTATAAAGACATGCCATCGACGCTGTATAGGCCAAGTGAAGAGGTCAAGAGCAGGTTCTCCAAGTGCTTCGGTTGTTCATCTTTCCAGCGTTCGCATCCGAGAAAGTCACTCGTCACACTTTCCAAAATGGCTGGACTTCTCAAAACTGGCCTTCTGCTGCTTGGCTCGACCCTCGTCGCAGCCGCACCCCTTGCCGAGCGCGCAGACACCTGCGCAACTAAGGGCAAGCCCTCGGGCAAGGTTCTTCAGGGATATTGGGAGAACTGGGATGGATCGTCAAACGGTGTCCATCCCCCCTTCGGCTGGGTGCCGATCACGGATTCTCGAATCAAGCAACATGGTTATAACGTGATCAACGCTGCCTTCCCCGTCATTCGGTCCGACGGCACGGCGCTGTGGGAAGACGGCATGGACACCGGCGTCAAGGTTGCAACTCCAGCCGAGATGTGCGAGGCCAAGGCGGCCGGTGCCACGATCCTCATGTCCATCGGTGGTGCGGCGGCTGGCATAGATCTCAGCTCCAGCACCGTCGCGGACAAGTTTGTGTCTACCATTGTCCCGATTCTCAAGAAGTACAACTTCGACGGTGTCGACATCGACATCGAGACTGGGCTGAGCGGCAGCGGAAACATCAACAGCCTCTCCGCCTCCCAGGCGAATCTGATCCGAATCATCGACGGCATTCTTGCGGCGATGCCCTCCAACTTTGGTCTGACCATGGCGCCCGAGACAGCCTACGTCACGGGCGGAAGCGTGACGTACGGTTCCATCTGGGGCGCTTACCTGCCCATCATCAAGAAGTACGCCGACAACGGCCGCCTGTGGTGGCTGAACATGCAGTACTACAACGGTGCCATGTACGGCTGCTCGGGCGACTCGTACTCTGCCGGCACTGTCGAGGGCTTCGTCGCTCAAACCGACTGCCTGAACAAGGGTCTCGTCATCCAGGGCACCACGATCAAGGTCCCGTACGACATGCAGGCCCCCGGTCTGCCTGCGCAGTCGGGTGCCGGTGGTGGCTACATGTCTCCGGGCCTGGTCGGACAGGCTTGGGACCACTACAACGGAGCGCTCAAGGGGATGATGACGTGGTCGATCAACTGGGATGGGTCAAAAGGCTGGACCTTTGCCGACAACCTCAAGGGAAGACTTGGTACGGCTTAGAACAGCCATCGGTCCTTTTCAAGCCATCCAAAAATGTACATACAGGCTGCAAGACATTGAATATAGGCTTATGCCATTGTCGCAATTTGCATCTCCCTGTTCCTGTCGTCACTACATCTTTGTCTTTCGAGGTGACCCATTCAATGACATATAAAACTTGTGTTTGTGTATTCGAGCCCGCTTGCGCCTGCAAGCGTTCAAACCCAACGGGGTCGGGCCGTGCCATATTGAATGACGCCGGACGGGAGACGAGCCGGACGACTAACAAGGTACAGTCACGCGTGACACCTGGAGCTCTTCCATGTCTGTTTTCACAGTCTCTTGACCAATAACGTCCTGAGCACGGTCACTGTCATGCTGGCGACACGAAACGTGGCGCTTTGGGACGTGCTACACCTCATGTGCACGCTCAACACCAGACACAGGACAGGAAATGGTCTGAACGCCTTGAAATTTAGCCAGTGTGTTGCTCCATGGTTATGCTGATGAAGATCGATCACATCGTAGGCCCGATAAGTTACGTCAGTGCCAACAAATTATTGCTACTGTGAAAGTTGGTCAAAGCCTCAATGACCCCGCGTGTGGTCGCTCCCGATTGAAACACTGACGCAGCACAGCATCTCAGGCACTGTCGGTTTTCTGCATCTCGGGCTATTTCTAGGCTCGCTGTTGGCTCTCATCTCTGTTGGCCTAGAAGACACATTCAACCTCATCCGGCTCGGAACGTTTTGGGGGTCAGGTTGGTAGAGATGCAGGGATGACGGCGGAGGATCGTGGCAAAAGACACCACGCGTGCACAGCGTTTGAAATGCCTGTGCTGTATCACTGTATGGCAGACTCAGGGCGCCTTGGTTCTTATTACGTTTCCCTCTTTCTCGTGTGTTGCAGTTCAACTCGTTTTGAAACGAGCTGCGACCAGAAGGTTACTCGCAAGCCTACTTACTTATGAACCAGTCTGTATAAGAACCTACGCATTCGCTTAATTGTCCCGTGGTGACCCTGCTATCTCTGTCCTCAGTTCAGCTTCTCCCAAAGATGAAGTACTTCCCTCTATGGCTTACCTTGGCATGGCTGCCACTGGCTGCATGCGCGGACGAAGAACATGTACCTCCACGAAAGGTGTTGTATCCCACGATGGACGAGGCCAGGAAAGCGGCTCGATTAAGCAACGGCCTGATTATGGGAGAGGTGGTATGTTTTCTCATCATATCCCGGATTTGCTTTGATGATGGAAGCTAAAGACATGACACCCGACTGCAGTGCGACCACGTCACCCAAATGTGTTACTATAACTACAAGTACGCCTCTCAGTACAAGAAAAAAGACAAGGTTAGCGTCGGTTACCGGCTGTATGTCACCAACAGGGTCAGCCAGTGCACTGAAGGGCGTGTACGTTTCCGTTCCAAATCCCCCTTCTTGACCAGCGGCGCTGATCCTCGGACATTTAGTGCACGAAGGAAAATGCACGGTGTATTTATCATGGTTGGGATCCGGCGACGGTTAGCTGCTATTAACTGGCTTTAAACCGCACTTGGCGAAACGTCTCGGGGAATCGTCGAGCGTCATGTTCTGCATCCGAGTCGACCCCGAGCTTTCAGAATTGTTACGGGTGTCAATGTTTCGACGGCTGGTTTTGATCTGTAGCGAAGATACATCACAGACCGCGTTTCTGTTGCCAATGTTTCGTTCAATCCCCCTAGCTCCTGGCCTGGACACAATCCCCGCGCCCTTCGCCGTCCATCCCTCAGTTCAGAAATTTGGTGGCTCAAACAGAATGGCATGTGTGGGCAATTCCCGAGCCACTATTGCGCTCTCAGCACTTGCACAGCTTGTCGATGCGATACTCAAAGAGGTAATACGGCCATCCTGGTCCCTCAAAGTTCATGTGCACCGTGACCTGCTGTGTCCCTGTGCGTTTCGTCAGATTCAGCCTCCGCGACACCACTACCGCACAATCTCATGGGCAGGAACCCTCACCTTTTGGAATCCGGAACGAGCCCCAAAACCCGTCGTTGGCAATGCTTCTGAGTGCACCCCACGGGCCAGCACCCACGTCAACATTGGCAATATTCTTGGTGTTGTACTTGTCGGTGCCCAGGGTAGGTCTGCCATGGGTTTTGCCCACTTCCTTGCCGTCCGCCAAGATGGTGTATTGCTCCGTCGTGACGGACGTGTCGGCTATGGTGAAGACAAGGTCGCCGTCGGACGTGTACTTGCTCACGTCAATGACAGCGTCGCGATCGGCCACTGTCACGGCTTTGCCTTGCGTCCATGGCACGACCTCCTCGCCCGTGCACGGCGTGTCTGGGGAGCAGGCACCGTAGAACTGGATCTGCGTTCCGCGCGAGGACTTGTAGTATACATCGTCGCCAGATGTTCCTGTTCACATTAGCCAACGAACGTGACTGTTCATCCTGTGACATACCAGCCGGGATCAGGTAGCTCGTCCCCGACGCCTGAGGCCTGACCTTTTCCCCTTTGATGTAGATCTCCAAGTCATCGTCAGGCCATGTAGTCACCCACGTGTCAAAGGGGTACTTGTAGTTGGCAACGGGCACGTTAGGGTTAGGCAAGACCTTGCGCTCCGAGCCAGTAGCAGCCAGGCTCTTGGGAGTCTTGTTATTCTCCAGCGCAAGCCACTTGCATGGGGAGCCATCTCGAGGGCACTTCCACCAGTTGTCAGGGTCTGGCGTTGGCGTGGGACAACCCGGCCGGCTGCAGGTATCCTCGACCAGGGTCAGAGCGGACTTGAGAAGGCCAGTGTACTCGGTCACAAAGGCATCGAGAGCGGTGGTGCCACAGGGGAAGCAGGGCGCAAGGATGCGGCCGAGCAGACTTGCCAAGCCAACATCTTCGACGCGTGCTGCACAGGTTCCTGGGACTGATGGTAGTCACATCAGAACCCATCCTCCAGTCGGTATTCGTACGGTCGTGGGTTGGACTCACCTGGCTTGGGGGGCTGCCTTGGATCCACGCACGAGCCGTCCTTGAGCTTCCATCCAGGAGCGCAGCACACATATTCGCCCGTCTTGGTGTCCTTGTGCAAAGTGGCAAGGTCCTCGCCGGGGCCACAAATTCTGCTGTTCTGGACGCAAATCCACGAGTCACCGTCCTTTTGGGGGACTTGGCCTGTATTTTCATGAGCGTTCGTCACCCCGAGGGCATGAAAGTAATCGCATACCTCTCTGCTTGCATAACTCCACCTTGTGAGGTCAGTTATAGAACGTGAAGGCTGGTGGACATGGGGCTGCTCACCAGGATGTCGGGTGGAGTGTCAGCTGAAGCTAGCACAATAGGAAGGGCAAGACAGGTTGCAAGAGCGGTTCGGAGCATGATGATGGCGGTGGTGGTTTCTGTTGTCTTGTACTTTTCCAAGTCGATGGATGTCTTTGGCTTTTCAAGATCTGCCGAGGACAAGGGCGTATTTATACGTTCTCAAGTTTCGGGACGGGAGTAAGCCTGAGTATCCGTTTTCAAGACTTAATACGACATATGAAATCATTGTGCATTAACGAAGGGAACGCTCCTGCATACATGAAGCGGCCTCGCCGAGCAATGCTCTGTATCGTCAAGTACGTGGCTGGCTGGACCTGCATGCTTCCATTGCTGCGCCGAGACACGAACCGAACCGAGTTCCACGTCGTTCAGCTTCAATCGATGTATCACACACTGTGTTCAGTATTCCAGGGGAACAAGACGCCGACGGATGGACTGCGCCTGTGATGGCTTTGTTGCCGGACTTGGGTCAACTCATGATGTTGCTTGCCCGTCTCTCATGGCAGGACTTGCTCCGTTGGGGAACGCTCATCGACAAGGAACACACAGAAAAGACTACACGGTATATTCGTTCAGCCAGGCGTCTTGGGGAATGGCCCACCTCAGTCGTGACGACAGAGCTTTGTTTACAGTCCAGTCTAAAGTAACAGTTCACGCCCCGCGAGGAACCAACAGAGCATCGGGGCGGCTCCCAAGTTACACCGCATCACTAACGCCCAACGAATCACCGCCTCACGGGACCATGCATCCCTCTTAGAAAGGCCACTGCGTCGCAGAAACCCGTATTCAACCCTCCATGTACCGCCCTTTGATGTCATCTCAGCTCTCCCATCAACCCCGATCTTCGCAGAAGATCAGATCAGATCATTACCAGGCCCGTGACATGCAGCTGTTCGCCGTTGACACAGGCACCACATTGACGTTGAGCACATACCAGGCGGCTATTATGTGAGATCTATCTGCAAGTCTCAGCGCGCACTCAGCTGAATCGCCAAATGAGGCTCATGCATAATGCATGGTTGGCCGCCTTGCAGTGCCCCGATCGAGGAATAGCGTGGATCAACGACTCAACACCAGTGTAAAGCAAACATGCGTTCCTGCACGGGTTGCCGGCCCGGCCGGTGATATGACTCGCAAGCAAACGGTTGGGGTGTCGGAGACATTGATGTCTGGGGCGCCACACGGGACGGGCCGTTCGCCGCGCTCGTATTCCGCTTTCGCCATGAACGCTCGCCTCCGCATATGCGGGTTGATGATGGCTACAGCGGAGAAAACATCCCGAGCAGCGGGGGACGTACAGCTGAGGCGAAGTATCAATCTGCAGCGTCGCATCCCGGCTCCGAGGGCCGGCGGTGGAGGTTGGAGATGTCCGTGCAGAGACCGGCTGCATGTGAGGAGCTGCAGGGTTGACGTAACGACATGTCGATGTTGCCCCGTTCGTCTGTTGCGAGACGAACTGTGCATAACCAGCTGAGCAAGGCGTCGGGCTCAGGACCTCATGTTGACGTCGTCTCGTTCTCAGCGCAGAAGTCAACCCGCCAGTCAAGCCTCCTCCCTCCCCAACCCATACAAATCCCGCTGCACCATCCCCAGCAACTCCCTCCCCTCCTCCGTCCTCCCATCCCCCCTCCCAAACAACCTCTCCCGCCCCCTCACCACCTCCCGAAACAGCTCCTCCGCCCCCCTCAAGTCCCCATGCACCGCGCACAGCTGCCCCAGCTGAAACATGGCCTCCAGCGTGCGCTCGTCGCCCCTCCCGCGCAGCGTCGCGTACCCGTCCGCCGCGCGCTCCATCAGCGGGCCCGCCTCGCCCGTCCGGTCCTGGTTCTTGTACAGCAACGCGAGATCATATACCGCAGCGACGACTTCTTCGTCGGCAGGGCCGAGGAGGGCTTCGAGGTCGGAGACTTGTCGCTCCCAGGATAAGCATGCGTCGTGGGCGCGCGAGGGGCCCATGGTCACGTATAGTAGGCCCAGGTTCTTGGCCGTGCGGGCCGCAACGAGGCTGTTTCGTCCGTAGAGGTCCTCCCGACCATGCAGCGCAGCGAGGTAGTACCCCTCCGCCAGGTTGGGCTCGCCGCGGCGCTTGTGCAGTATCCCGAGCATGTTGTACGTATTGTACATGCTATCGCGGTCGGGCGTCGCCTCGGGCGGCGGGTCCATGGCCTCGTACCCCTTCTTCACACGCAGCAGCAGTTCCTCCGCCTCATCGAGTCGGCCCCGATCGAGCAGGAACGAAGCCAGGTTATTCACGCGCGCGAGGGTCGACACGTGCTCCGGCCCGCAGCCGGACTCGTCGCAGCGCACAACCCGCCGGTGCATCGCCTCCGCCGCGTCGAAGAGCCCCCGCGCCTCGAGGATCTCGCACACCTTGGCAAACTCGTCGACCGTCTGGCCCATGATCTTCGCGGGGGAGTCGGCGTGGAGAAAGTCGCGCGTGTTGGGCAGATGCGGATTGTGAAAGCGGAAGAAGCCGATGACGGATGGGTGCGCAATGTCGAAGCGCGTGCCGTCATGTGTCCTGCGGATAAAGGGGCCGCAGATGCGCAGTATGTCCTGCTCTGTGACGGCTGGATGCTGTCGATGCGCAGGGAGGTTGTTCTCCGCGTACCATGCGCTGGAGGGGTGGTGATTGAGCAGCGAGGTGAGCGTCTCGCATAGTTCACCGATGCTGAGGCGTGCTTGTTGCCAGAGTCCCCCAGCGAAAATGTACTTGAGCACGCGGTTCACGATGAACGTCGTGCGAGGGTTCCCTTCGGCTAGGACGCTCTCGAGATATGGCCCATATGGGAAGATGGCAGGACGCACATCCTCCGGGTCAGGGCCGTATACCCGCTGCGATGGGGGATCGGCCGGCGCATCGCTTGCCGATTGAGGCGTCCACCGCCCGATCCTGGCAAGATTGCACTGCGCCTCCAGTTCGCACACGGCCCAAAGCCAACTAAACAATGTCAGTGGCTGATGCCCCTTCAACGGGGGTGAAGGGGAAACATACGCGCCGTGACTCATGTTGACAATATACCTCTCGATCCCTTCCCTCACTGCCTCGTCCCCGAGGAAAGTTGCTCCTGCGGCAGTCCTTCTGGCGAGTTCCGCACGGACATATGTCTGTATATCATCGGACCTGCCCGTGGCAAATATCGTATGGAAACGGCCCGCTTGGGGCGGTCTCCCGTCCGTATCGGAAAAGTTTTCTCCAGTGACGGCCACGCGTAGCGGCACGCCAGGGGTATCGCCCGCAGTCACCAGCAGAGACAGGACGCTCTGCCGTGCGGTCATATCGAGGCCGTCGAGCGACACCACAAAGACGGACACGCTGTCAAAGTGCCGAGCCATTCCTGTGAGCAGGTCCGCCAGTTCCCTAACGGTCGTCGACACCAACTTCTCCTCCAGAGCCTTCGCATGCTCCGTGTCCCCTACAGCCGCCTTTAGTGACTGGTAAGCAGCCTCGCTCTGCAACGCCAGCTGCAGCACCAATGTCGTCCTGACATCCCAGTCGAAGCTGCTGGCCCCTTCGTCGCGACAAATGTAAAAGCAGACGGCATCGCCTCGTTCATGACCTGCACCGGCCGTTGCATTCGCTCTCCGAATCATCTCCTCTGCCAGCGTGGCGGCCAGCGTCGCCTTGCCCGCGCCGTCGTGTCCGTGAAGCCACAGGTTGCGAACATCGTTTGTGCCATCGATCCATGACCTGATTGTTTCATCTTCGAATAGCCATCGGCCTGTACCGGGTTCGCGAGCGCGAAGCAGGCCGAGCAGAAGGTCGTCCATGGGCACGGGCGCTGCGTCGTCGAGGACTGCGGCAGACGACGGCGAGATGCGCCGTGGCAAGACATGTCGCCGCGATGACTCCGCCATATCAAGGGCCGTTGTCTTACCAAGTTGGCTGCAGGATGAGCTGTAACAATAGAAGCCAGAGTTGAGTGTCGAGGTGAGTGTAGTGTTGTGGGGCTCAGATGAACGTCTTGTGAATCTCATCCAGGCGCGGATCGGGTTCAGCCGCGCTTACGCCTGAGTCCATCTGGCGAGCCACATCAGTCAAAAGCCGACGCCCGATCAGCGACTGTCCATGGCGGGCCTTGATCTACTCATAACTGTTACAGCAATCCGATATTAGATCAAACACGCCGGCCGCTGTCGGTCGTGTTTCGAGCTGGCGCCCAGCCTGTCTCTCCAACGTGACAACCAACTTGCGCGAAACTCAATCATACAGATCCTCAGCGTACCTACTGACACAGTCCGCCAGCTTCGTCGCAATATCATGCTCAATATCCTCCGCCGTAAGGCCAGAGTCCGTCCTTAGCGTTGGGTCCGCGCCGGCATCGAGCAGCATGTCCTTCATGTACAGCGCCTTGTCCCTCCTGTCCGTCGCTTCGGCCGGCGACAAGCGCTCCAGCGCGTCGCCCCGATCCTGGCACGGCGATGCCACCGCACAGCACAACGGCGTCCAGCCTACGCCATCTCGACAGTTCGGCTCCGCGCCCAGCGTCAAGAAGAGCTGGGCCATTAGCACGTGCCCCAGATCACAGGCTTCATGCAGCGCCGTCAAACCGTTTGGGCCCGCGCCGTTGAGACCAATGTCAGGCCTGTCCCGCAATACCTCACGCAAGAACTCGAGGCCGAGCATGTACGCCCGGTGCTCCGGATCACCCACGGCTGGCTTCGGCGCTGTGACCATGAGGTGGAATATCGTGAGCCCGTGTTCGTCTCGCGTGGCTGGATTGAACCCCTTCGTGATGAGCACCGCCATGGCTTCCCAGTGGCGGGTCTGCGCAGCCAAGTGAAGCACGCTTGGGCTCGAGGCGTCCCTCCCCCTCAGATCTTCGACTGCGGGTAGCAACGTCGCGATCACGTCCACGGATGGAGCCCACGGCATGATTTGCTGTTCCCAGTGTTCCATTTCGTAAAGCTCTCGCACACCTTGTGTCAACGATGCCATGGTGCGCACCTCTGCCTGGACAAAGTCGTCCCTCGTCAAGAAGCACCAGTGAAGTGGTGTGCGCCCGTACTCGTCGCAGAGCACTTGAGCACCCACGTCGAGCAGACACGACACAGCAGCGGCGTTGTGATAACCGGCAGCGACGTGCAGAAACGTCACCTTTTCGCCTGTACGGATGGTCTCCCGCTCATACGAGCCTTTATCGTGCCAATCCAGGTAGGGGAGCTGCTGATCGACGCCGCCAGGTATAGCGTGCGAAAAGCGACGGATCAAGGCATCGCCAGCCCAACGACAGGCACACTGAAAGGCCGTTCTGCCCGCGCTGTCGGTGGCACCTGGGTTGGCTCCGGCGTCCAAGAGGAGATGGACCAACCTCTCTTGCCGCACCACCCACGGGATCTGACCAAGCCACGGCCGGTTCGGTTCAATGGGCTCGTCCACGTCGTCCCTGGGCACTAAGACGTCCGTTGCAGCCAGGAGCACTGCATCAAGAACGGTGAGAGGAAAGTCGAATCCGTGAGATATTTGCCTCGTCCACTGAGAATGGTCCAGCAGCTCCAGCAAAACCTTTATGGCGTCTTCGTGCCCGCTTCGCGCCGCCTGAACAATAGGTTCCGGCGTAAAATGCTCCAAGCTGCCGCCCGGCAGGCCGTCTGGAAAGGGGACATAGGCGGCACCGAGGTCACAAAGTGCTCGCAGAGTCCGCGGCGCGCCGTACTGCAGTGCCAGCGCTCCCAGTCCCACGGGACCCCAGGCACGCTTGATGTCAACTTCTGCACCGGCGCGGGCCAAGAGGTTCATCGCCTCCGGGCTGTCGTACTGGGAACACGCTTCGAATATACCATACTTTGTCCAGCGCTCGGGATCCGGGTACAGCCGACGCAGTGAAGCTCCGCGATCCACAAGCAGCCGGAGGACGGCGAGGCTCTCGACCGATATGGTCCTCGTTGACCGGTAGATGTTCTTGTAAAACGGAATCTTGGCGGCGAAGATGACGGCCGGCTCGGTCAGCATGCTCCGGTCCCGCAAAAAGAAGCCCTCCTTTCGCTGGACTTCGCCGAGCCAGCGGCGATGTAACAGGCCGTGGTGAGCAAGCGTGGCGCTCGCCAGGTTGGGGTTCTGATCCAAGACATGCCCCACGGCGTCGACGTCCTCGTCCCAGATGGCAGCGACCAAGCGGCCCTTGGGTGTTTCAGGGTCCGCAGGAATCAAGGGTGGAGGGCCGTTTGGCTCGTCAGCGGGTGCTGGCGTCGATTGCCGCATGCTGGCGGACGCCGGAGAGGCGGTAGGAGATGAGGACCTCAATGATGTGAAGCGGAACGACACGAGCACGTCACCCGATGGAGCCGGCGAGACGCAACAGCAGGCGGGTCATGGCGGGGGAGCTGTGAGCTCTGGGACAGGCAAGATGAGGAAGCACATGGGAAGCGTCGCGTTTTCAATGGGCCAGGCCGCGCATGACAGGTTCGGCATTCAGGGGTGCATTGGGCGCGGGACGGGAGAAGCTGACGTTGCTGGGGGGGTGCCGTGGCAGCCGCGGAAGGCTGATGTGGGTGCGTGCGGGCATGCGGGCGTGGGATGGAGCGGACGTGGAGGTCGAGGAGGCGGAGGAGGAGGAGAAGAGGGGCCGGGTGGGTCACGGTTGATGCGTACCAGGGAAGTGATTGAGGGGCAGCCGTTGCCGACGATTACCCGCCCTGCCGCCGGCGCATCCATGGACCACGGGCGCCCAGGCAGGAGCTCCAGGGCTCCAGCTCTAACGGAGCTATGGAGGCGCCCAACTTTGAGCTCCCCACAGCGGGGCAGGCCAGTGGAGGGCACTGAGCTCCAGGGCTGTCGCTGCTCTGCGGGCACTGAGCCGATCGGCACTGATGCTCCGGCGCCTGTAGCCCGTCCAGCACCACCAAGACTGCAGGCGGCGGATCTCACCTCAACCTTGGAACTCCATCATCAACTCCATCAACGCCGCCGCGCCACGCATCACGCTACACTTCACTCGACGCCCCCCCCGCCATGATCCTCTCGCCATGAGCCAACCGCCGAGCACGTCCCCCGTGGGCCACTCCAGAAACAAGTCATCCGTTACTAGATGTACGTCCAACGCGCAGACCGACGAGGCCCAGCCTCGGACTCGTCTCAACGGCCGCGGCTGACGACGCCCGCGCCATGGCCGCCGATGAAACACCAGCTGACCGACCCGTCCCAGCCTCGAGGCCGCGATCCTCAACAAAGGGCCCCCTCGACGCCGACGAGTGAGTCTCAGCCGTTGCCGCCATCACCGCTTGTTCTCTCGACCGCTCATCCTCTCCAATGCCAGCCATCCCTTGACGTCGCCGTCGACGCCTCAGTCCCAGCCCAGCCCGCGGGCGGGCCAGACGCCTTTGTCGGCGCAGAATCATCAGCAGCTGCCGCGACGTGCCGCGCCTCGCAATGCCGCCTCACCCGCCGTCTCGCAGGTCGGCGAGGCGCGCGCCAAAGACTTCTCGTTCCTGCTACGCCCTGACATCTACCACCCGCTGACGCCCCTCAACGTGCCCCTGGCCTTTCGCAACTCGCCCAAGCAGCCCGATCCGGCGGCGTCCCTGGACGAGCTGCTCGCCAAGGGCCACTTTCGCGCAGCCGCCATCTCTGCCGTGCAGCAGCTCACGGGGTCGGGCCTCGACGGCAGTGTCGTGGACCCCACCGACTCGAGCCGCATCTTCAGCCTGCTCTACACGAGGCTGGCCTGCCTGACGCTCATCGACGCCACGCCCCTGGCCGCGCACGAGGTCAAGGCGCTCGAGGATCTCAACAACGCGCGCGCCTACGTGGATGATGCGACGGGCGAGCACCTGGTACCTTGGGAGCTGCGCGTCCTCAATGTCCGCCTGCAGTCGCTCGGCTTCGGCGACCCGCGCCGCGCCGTTATGAGCTATCATGAGCTGGCCCGTGAGGCTCGCGACCGGGCCAAGCGTGACGAGGCGGCGCGTGATCTGTGGCGTGCGCGTCTACATGACCTAGGGGTCAAGGTTGCCGGCGCACTCGTTGACATGGGTGACCTGCCGGGCGCCGCGCACCACCTCGCCAGCCTACACGATGTCGGCGATGCCAAGGTCGTGCTGTCACGGGCCTTGCTGTGGCTGCGCCTGGGCGATGCCGAGAGAGCGAGATCCTGCGTGGCCAAGTGCGCCGACGCTCCGCGGATGGAGCAGTTGGTCTTGGCGCTATGCGACATGGCCGATGCCGACTACACGGCGGCCCTGGCACGATGGCTGGAGTTGCGTGAGGCGCTGCCGGGTGACGAGATGGTCGGCGTCAACACCGCCGTCTGCCTGCTATACCTGGGCCGCATGCACGAGGTGGGTCTACATGTTCTCCAAACCGCCGTCATGTACTGACGTTTGCAGGGTCGCGAAATCCTCGAGGGACTTGTCGCTTCTGGCCAGTCATCACATACCCTTCTGTTCAATCTGTCGACAATGTACGAGCTGTGCACGGACCGCAATCGCAACCTCAAGCTTAAACTGGCAGAGCGAGTGGCGGCCATGGATGAGTCGCCATCGGGATGGGAACGCATGAACGCCGACTTTAAGCTTTAAGTCTCATCTACAGCGTTATAACGATACGCCGCTTGGGTATACTCTAAGGCTTGTGGCTCTTCGTGCTCCTCTAGTTGCTCGGGCTCAAATTGGCGCGAATTTGGGCCACATCCGTGTCGGAGAAGCCCAGATGGTTCTTCATGTACCCCTCGGCTCCTCCATACTCGCCTCGCAGGCGCTCGACGAACCGCTTCATGACGGCGGCGTACGTGCCGAGCATCTCCCTCATACCGGGCGTCTCAATGTCCACGGTGACTTCACCGCCCGTCGCCTCCTGGTCCTTCGTCTCTCCATCACCGCTCACCGCGCGAGGGTCCGGGGCCGCGGTGGATGCCTGGACGCCGAAGCTACGGAGGGCGACGGGGAGGAGCTTCTCGCGCCAGGGCTCGGTGCCGATGCGCGTGAGGGCGTACTCGTCTGCGATGACGTCGATGGGGGCGCCGAGGAGGTCGAGGATGAGGGCGGCCATGACGCCGGTGCGGTCCTTGCCGCCTGGAAACGGGTCAGCGATGGCCGTTTGTCGGCCTGGTAGATCAAGTGTAGACAGGACAGAGCTGGTTCAAGCTCGTTGGGTAGAACAGGCATGACACTCACCCGTGCAGTGAAACAACACGGCGTCGCCCTCACCCGCCGTCCGCAACGCCTCAAACACAGTCCTATACCCCGTCGTGTACCCCTTGAGTATAACATCATACATGACCTCATACCCCGTACTCAGCTCCTCCCCCTCCTTGGCCACGAAATCCCCCGGCCCCATCTGCCGCGGCTGCTCCCTGCCATCCATATATGGGCACGACACGAGCGTCACGCCCTCGACGCCATTCCCGCCCCCCACCAGCAGCGGCACCTTGACCTCGTCCTTGCGGCGAAAGTCCACGACGCGCGACACACCGAGCTGGGAGCGCAGCAGGGGGCGCGACTCGGCGGGCAGGAAGTCGAGCGTGCCGGAGCGGAAGACGGTGCGGGGGCGGAGGAGCCCGCGAAGGGGCGCGAAGGCGCCTAGGTCGCGGACGTTGAGGGCGCCGGGGATGGTGGTGATGAAGGGCGGGGAGG